TATATATATATATATATATATATATATATATGTCCATCCTTTAGCTGTATGTGCCCTGTATATTCAAGCATGGCGGCACCATCCTCTTCGTTGTTCAAAACTCAGTGCACATCTCTTCGTTGTTTCCTGTTTAGAACCGGCCTAAGTACGATTGGAGAGGGGGACGCAGCGGGACAGACTTGCATGTCGAATTTCTTCTCTGCGTGGACGGAGGTGAAGTCTTTGCTGAGGAATCCTCTTTACGTCGTCGTGACAATGGGAATGAGTGCTCTTTACTTTGTGGTGACTGGTGAGCAGCACAACCAGCGAGTCAGCTTCTCTCCTGTTAGCTCTTGTATTTAAGTCGCTACTTGCCGCAGGTTCTGCTGCAGCTGCAGTTGTATGATGCATGAAAATGGGGCATAAATGCACTTTAAACATGTGCACTGGGGTGTTTTTGCTGACATAGAGGAGGAATTTGCTGCTCGTGCTGTGTGGTCTGCTTCGCCTTCTGGCACTGCTCATGCATTCCAGAGGAAACAAAAAGACAACCATGTGGCACTTGATACAATAAATACACACCCTGCCTCAGTCTTATTGTCTCATTATTGTATTCTGTTGCATTCTGCTCTTTCTCTCACTTTCAGGCATTCAGTTCTGGGTGACGGAGTTCTTGGTCTCTGTTTTGCACTTTCAGAAGCTGTCGGTTGTCGCGTTGAGCACGTTTTGCTTCCTTACAGCTCCGACTTCAGGGTGTGTTAGTGTGCAAATTTGTTGGGTTGCGTGAAACAGCACAATAGGCGCACGCAACCTCCAATTATCAAGAAGGGGATCTCCAGATAGACGAAACGCCAACCATAAATGCATGATGTGTTATTATATCGTCTAACTTAGAGAAATTTCAATTCGCCTGCCTGCAGAGTCTGGTTCGGTGGCTACGTCTGTGATCTTTGTGGAGGATACCGGGGAGGCGGCCAGCAGCGCGTAGCTGTGCGAGTGACAACTCTTTTTGCAGGTGAATACACAAAAGGGACACATGAGAAGTAAAGAATAAACACAACCCGCAAGCAACTTGTTGCTGCCTATTCTACCTATCATATGCCTCGTATTATGTTTTTGCTCCGTGTTCTTCTATTTTTGTGAAAAAAGGACAACTTGCTGTTGTCCAGTACTTCTGTGTGTACTGTGCCTTCGTTGCCAGTCCTTTTAGTCGTTAAGAAGAAAGCCAGTCGTCTTGTTACCAACTCTGTTTATGCTTTTGCATTGTTATTGCTGGTGTGTGCTTGTTGCGCTTGCAGGAATTGGCGCGACACTAGCAGTAACTTGTATTTATGTGGAGTCATTCATTCTCTTTGCTCTCCTTCTTTGGGGTTGCCTTTTCTTTGGGGCAGCTCTGGTGCCTGTTGCTGTGGGCATCCAACTTGCAAGTGTTCCGCTGCATCAGCGCAGTATTTCTTCAGCTTTAAGTCAATTTGCGTAAGTTGTTATTTGCTGGAATTGAAAATCAGCACAGAATATACAAACGTACTGCCAGTTTTATGCGTTCTTTCGCAAACACAGCTGTTCTAGGGACCATATTCATTTTGCACATGCTTAACTTCGGTTTTTGTGTAGATAGGGCATGCTCTCTGTGCTCGTTTGAGCGTATGCTTTGTTTCCGTTTCTTTAATTGATGCAACCTGTTTCTGTTTGTTGCTGCATATGTGGTGTTTTGGCTCTTTTCTTAGATGCAAAATGCTTGTTTTGTTTTTCTCTACTTGCCTTTTCTGCTCAGATATAACATGTTTGGTTGGTTTAGTGCTCCACTGGTTTCGGGAGTTGTGATGGACTTCATCGACTGGTGTCACCCAGCTGGGGGCAAAGAACTTGCACTCCGGTAACTAACCTAGTCTTAGCCAACTTTCTAACAACTCCCGTTTCTCCTTCTGGTGTTCAACAGAAATTCAGATGAAAGAAAAAAATACGATTCCCGTTTTCACTTTTGGGGTTGTTTCGTCTTTTCAACAAAAGCGCTGCTGCGAGATGCAGTAGTGCAGCTTCTCGTTCTATGCTTGTCGATTTGCAGGTTTGGGTTTGAAATGATATTGTGGGTTTCCGTCGTGGGCTTCGCCCTCTTTGCCTTGGCCAACGCTCTGGTGCAACCGGTGCGTTTACCTTCTGTTTACTTGTCCTCAATAAGAACTGCTAATTGTTCCAATTGCATTGGATTATTCGCTAACTTAACAAAAAAGATTCATGAATACAAATGTGCTTTCCACATTGCTCCATATTGGTGCTTTGCTTTTCGCTGTATGCGTTTGGTTTTAGACGTTCCCATCCGAAGATATTGAGAAGGAGGAGCTGGAGCTGCAGCTTGCACGCACGCGGATGCCTACATTGTCTTTTTAATTTAATTGTTTAGTCGGAAGGCGAAAAGAAGACCACTCTGCACACTAAAATGTGCGGCTGTGGATGGCACAGAGGCCACAATAAACAGTGCAGGCATGGCGGCAGGCTGCTGCTCTGCTTTTGCTGAACAAATTTGAAGCTCCTCTGTCTTTGATTTTATTTAAAACGAAACGAAAACAAGCAACCTGCGATAGACACAAATACTGCTCGTTTCTGCCTCTGCCTTGCGTTTAGCTAACATAGAGGCTAAAATGCACACATTATCATCTTTAGGACTCGAGTTACTTCTAAACACAGGCAAAATAGCCTGCAATGCATGGAAGGAGTTTACGCGCGCTTGAAACAAGGTTAGAATACTCCCTTGTACCCGAACACGATTTCTACATTTCCCTTCCTGTTCTGCACTTCCCTTCCTGTTGCCCAGTGGCTTGGCTGGAACGGATAGGGCTGGCGAGGGGGCAGAGGAGACGCCAGATTCCGTGCAGCAGTACCTGCACCGGCAGCCGCTGCTGCCAACTGGCCAACGGCAACATCTCTCGCCTTGCATGCATTTTAAGACCCACATGACCCTTTTCTGCCGCATGTATTGATAACGGGGGAGAGAATTGTTTACGCAGTGCCACGTCGTATGGACCGCCATGCAAAAAAAGCAACAGGAGTATCTTGCAAAAGATCTAGAGGAAAAGTGGCAGCTATCAATGGCAAAAAGTTGGTAATTTTGAGGGACTTCTGAATGAAATGTTGCTGTCGACTAGGAAATACGGAAAGGCCCAGTTTGGGCTGAAGCTAGTTCTGCTCTAAGCTATATGGAGGTGTATGCCCGCCCGTACACAACACAGACAAGGTTTTTGCCCTCTTGAAGGACAAACAATGACTTTCTTTTATTCAAAACAATACATTAAAACAATTTACACGGAAACTTTTAGTAACTACATTGCTTGGAAAAGGCAAGAGGAGAGCGGGGATGGTGGGGTTTCCTCTTGCCAAGCCCCATAACCACCCCCATGCAGATTCCGGTGTATTATATAGGGAAGTGTTTGCTCATAAACTTTAATGATGTAAAACTAGTAAGATGAAAATTAAATGGCGTTGTTGTATACCTCCATGCATCTTTTTTTCCCGCCCCTGCCCTTGTGTGTAGGAGCTACAGCTCAAGGTTTCGCTTTCCCCCCCTCCCACCCCTTCATGTATTACTTCTCTCTACCATCAATGCCTTTCTTTCTTCTCCTTGCCTCTACTAGGCTGCAGCAACCCTCGTTCCTCTGACCCCATCTCCTTTCCTCTATCCTCTTTTCGCTTTCCCCTTCCCTGTCTCTGTATCCTTCTTTCTTCCTGCTCATGAGGGAACCCAGCCCCGAAGGGGCTCCCCCAGCCACTCCACCCCCAACGAGCTCGAAAGAGGGCACACACGACAGCTGCCATCAGGACCCTTTTCCTTCTGCTGAGAACGATGGCGCACTCGCGAATATGCGGGGAGAATCCCCAGGGCCTCCCGTGAACTCCAGAGACCCCCCAGGAGACACAGGAACCCTGGGATCCCCTTGTCGTGCTTTTCCTTCAGAAGAAAAAGTCAGGCCAACGCCGGAGAGTGGGCCCCCTGATACGCCGAGCAGCAGCTGCACCGACGGCTCTGACGGCTGTCGCGCTAAGGGGCGCAGTTCAATTACTTCTGTTGTTTCGCTTATGTCAGAAGACGGAGAACCAGAAGAAGAAAGAACCCCTTCTCCGCATATCGAAAGCCGGGCTGCGACGCGACCACGGCGTGCCGCAGCTGTTCGCACTAAACGTAGTACAGCGACGGTAGCAGCAGAAGCAGCAGCAGCAGCAGCACCAGCAGCCCCTGCCACTCCTCCTCCTGTTCCTGCAAGATACAGAGAAGAACTCGAGACAGTAGATAAAGACATCATCCAAATATTGAATAAGGGAATCGCGGTAGGGATGCGCACACTCACACCGACACACGCATGCGCTCCATGGTGCACATGCATACATGCACACATGTATTCTTGTGGGATCTGCAGACTCACATGGTTCTGCCTTTTTTTGTGGTTTGTTTGTCCCTTTATGACGGGTGAGGGCCCTTTCAGCAGAGGGTCGAAGAGGGCTCTGGGATGCAAACTAGTGGTGCGTTGGCAATGTTTGTCTTGGGGTGTATGCACAGCACAGGGATCTGCTTTCTAACAGAGAAGAATATATAAAAATGAAGAAGGCAATGGAGGTGCCAGAAGGGGAAGAAGAAGCAGAGGGGGAGGGAGAGCAACCCCAAGGTGCCTGATTTCGCCAAACCGTAAACCCTAAACGACGAAGCTCTAGGCACTAATCCCTTCTCCCCCCACTCCCCCATCATCTTCTTCTCCGCCTTGCATGCGGGCGTGCAGGAACGGGACTGGTGCTGCAGCTGCAACGGCTGCTGCGGGTCCTCTGTGAAGGCTCTGCTCTACCACTGTCGGAGCTAGCAGAGGCAGCGAGTGCTGCCCTTGCGGACACAGGCCCTGAAGGAGACGCACCAGCGTTTGCTGTCGACCCACAAACCCTTAAAGTTGAACTCCCTGTGCTTCTCACGCGAAGGCGGTAAGCAACCTAGGGTCTGTGGTTTAGGATTTACGGCAAATGGTTTACGGTTTAGGCCAGGGGAGGGGGGAGGCAGTTAAGCACAAGGAGCGCTGATGTGGGTTTAGGGTGTAGGGCTTAGGGTTGAGGTCAAAGAAACGCTGGCTGGGGAACAGAGTTTAGGCAGTGAGGGTGTGAAGTCCGCTTCAAGGCATAGGATTGTGGGTTTAGCGCTTGAGGTTTGGTTTATGCAGCTTCGGCCTAATGCGTCCTGTAGAGCCGGAGGCCCCCCCTTCTGCTTCCGGCGCCTCTCGGGGCCCCCCTGTGGGCCCCTCAGAAGATACTGCTGCTTACAAGCTGTGGATATGGGAGTGTGTGCTGCTGGATGGCCTTCCTGCTGCCTTTAAAGAGGAGGCGCGCAAAGAAAGAGAAGCGAGACAGGTGAGCAGACCAGCGAACCTCAAACCCGAAGCATTCGCCCAGAACGCTTGAAAAGCACAACCTGCATGGCCTACCCCAGCTTCTGCACCTTCTTCGGGCACCCAAAGCCCCCATAAATCCAGCGCTTAGACCGTATAAACCGTAGTACCTGCCATGCCTTCCTTGTTCGGGGGCCGGCACAGGTTCGCTGTTCTGCCGCTTAAGGCCCACGTTGTGCTTGCAGAAGCCCTTCCTCAGAGTTTAGAGTGTAGGGTTTAGGGTATAGGGTCATTTTCTAGGATTTGTGGTGCAGACGTTGTATCGGAGGCTGCGGGCTTTGGAGAAGCTGCGCGAGGCGCTGTGTGGGGGTGTGGAGGCGGTGATAGCAACAGCACGAGAGCGTGTGCAGCAGCAGCTGCAGCGGGAAGCAGCAGCAGCAGAGAGGAAGCAGCAGCAGGAGCACAAGAGGAGACAAATCGAATATGTTAAAATGGAGAGAGAGAGGGGACGGCGGCAGCGCGAGGAGCAGCGCGAGGAGCAGCGTAGACAGAAGGAAGCAGAAAGAGAGAAAAAGGAGAGAGAGAGGCAAGAAAAAGAAAAAGAAAAAGAAGAACAGCGACGTGTAAGTCGTGAAGAGCTAAATACCAACCCCTTAGTCTTTTAAAACCCTTAGACCCTCTCACGCTCGTGGGAGCTCACCAGTCGCCACCGCTGCCGCTCAGTGGGTCTGCGGGCCAGCTTGGCTGTTTGCAAGGCAATAATGCAACAACAGGAGCAGGAATGGCGGCAGGAGCAACAGGAACATCAGCCTCAACAGCTGCAGCAGTGCCGGTAGCAACAGCAGCAACACCTGGAGGATTTGTGTGTTTTGCCTGTTGTGTGCGTGCGTTTGGGTGAACAGCAGCGGCAGCAGCAGCAAGCAGAGAAACAAAAAGTGAAGAAGACGGACCCCAGCGTGAACAGGCAGCAGAGCCTAATGGCTTCCTGGCTGCGGCGTCCTCCCGCCCCTGTGAGCGGGGGACCCCTTGGAAGTGGGACCCCTGGAAGCGCCCAGGGTGCCAGGCCCCCCCCCGGGGGCCCTCACCAGGCCTTGGGGGTCACCACAGGAGAAGACGGCGGTCTTGTCGTTGTGCTTGATGAGGAAGAACAAGCAGACATCAGGCAGAAGATGGAACTCAGAAGGGCAGCAGAGGCGGAGGCTATCGCGTGGCGCGTAGCCCCAGAAGATAAAGAAGAATTTGTTGAGGTCGTCGAACGCTTAGCGGGCTGTACGTTCACCCTGACACTTGCAGGCAATTCATATCCGCAAACCCTGAAAAATCGGCAAGATAGAGAGCTGGGTACAGGGTATAGGGTTGAAGTTTTATGGCTTAGGATCTAGCGCAAAGGGTTTGTAATTAGATGTTTAGTGAAGGTGGAGGGTTTAGGGCTAAGGGTTCAGGGGCTCTTGCTGCTGCTGGGCCCTCCTTAGGCGCACAACAGCGGCACCGCCGTGTGGACTCCAAGGATTTGCCGCAATTTTCTGAAGGCAAGTTTGGGGCTTTAGGGTTCAGGTTTTAGAGTTTGGGAAATCGGGTCCAGAATGGAGGTGCATGCTGCAATAGCGAGGAGCAAGGAAGCAGCTGCTGTAGTTGTTCCATTTGGCTGCTGGTTGTGGCCCCTTTTGTGATGCTGTGTGTTTCTGCGGAGCCTCTGGTGGTGCGTTTTCTGCAGCACAGCAGCAGGAGCAGCAGGAGGAGGAGAGCGACCCTTCGCATCTGCTGCAGCAGTATTTGGAGAGGCATGCTGTACCCGCTCGGGACCGTCTGCGGGAGTTTGTCACCTTTTGCGGTTCGTTTCTTCATCGCGCTTGTCTTCGTTCTCTAGTTTCCTGTATATCAGTGCTGCTTGCGTATACCTACTTGCACGCATGTGCAAACAATTATGTACTTATTGTTTAGTGACGAACACACCCACACCCACACACCCATAAATGTATATATATATATATATATATATATATATATATA